CATACTATCGTTTAAAAAATACAATAAAATTTAATTATTCTGAAATATGTTGATGTTTTTGATTAATTTGCAATTTTTATGGCACTCAAGTACATTTACAGTGCTGAAGAAAAATAAGCTGAACTCTAGCAAGTATTATCTATTATATAAAATACTACTTTGAAGCTAACACGAAAAAACACCGCAGCTTCTGGTTGTAGAAGTCAGTTGGAGATGACTACTAGCACCCACTTATATCACTTAAATACTGCATTTGCTGGAACTTTGGTCTAGCAAGGAAAGAATGATTTTTTTAAAATAAAAAACAGGAAAAAACGATAACTTCGGTTGCACAGGAGTAGTATAACCCTTCATAACTAAAACATCTTCTATACGTGAACTTGATTTTGATTTTTTTTCGGTCAGTTTGTATGACAGGTATATGTTATAGATATTGACGACTACGACAAATGAGCACCTTCTTGGAGAGAAAAAGACATGTGCAAAATTTTAGTTCGTGTAGATACAGATGGGAACATGGCTAAATCGACGTTTCCATCTGGGTGTTACAAACTTCAATATAAAGTTAATATACAGTGTATAAAGACTTTTTAATGAAAAAAATTATCATTCATCTGAACTTCCTCATTTGAGTGAAATCATTTTCCATCATCTTTTAGTTTGTGAAGTAATATATAGCCGCTAGAAATAAAAACTGACTAGTTCCTTCAATTTATTAAATGTATTACAAACTTAATGAGCCGGAGCTTTGTCTGTGCGAAAAAGCAACGCGGCAAAGCTTTTTGGTTTGTAAAAACTCATGAACTATGAATTACGCGTGAATAAATGTGTGTCTACTATCTGGGGGAACACCACCGAGATATTAACACATTAAATCGCGTGAATACTTTAAATAAAAGGCGATGTGTTTCGTATAAGACATCCGTTATTATAATTAATATAAATGGTAATATTTTTTCTATAAACAATTAATTATAAAAGAAAAGAGTTTGAAATATGGAACAATGTCGATCGAAATACTTGCGAGCGGAGCTGTCGTATCGAATGAGGAAAAATGTTGATGTGGCGATCAGGCTCGTAGACGAAAAACGAATGAGAAAAAGTGAAGATCCAATACATTATTGTTGATTGTGTGGTGACATTTCCGTACCACTGGTCTTCAGAAGAGAAGGTTATTGTCAAAGGAAAACCAGAAGCATTTGAATCTATTAGCTCTTAAGAATTGTACTAAATTATATATTATATATCAGGGATCAAAAGCTGTGAAAGATCTTACCAAAGTCAGCGATCTGTAGTTGGCTATTCCGAAGAAGAATCACACTGCTAAATCTAAGTACTTGCAACTAAGGGAATCGTATTGTATATTATGTCCCCTTTGCTCATAAGTCCTTCGATATTGACGGATCATCTAAGCCCAACTCATCTTCAATGTAAGTCTCGTAAGAGCTGCATACTCTCTTGGCATCAGATTACTCTTAATATCATTCCAAGCCCATCCACTGAGAGAGCTGCCCCGGTAGAGCTTCACTTCTCGACTTCCAACAAATTCAGAAAGTAAGACTGTGCATTTATTATCAAAGTAATTGATCATGCGATCTTCGAGGCAAAAATTTATGGAAATACTCAAATGAAATATTATATATAAAACTAGATACCAACCTTTTTTCAATAGCGCAAAATAATTTTAAAGGCATTTAAAATCTACGAAAGTGATTCTCGTTAGTAGGGCAATATGGGATTCTCCTTAGACTAGTCTGCTTAGGCTGTCAATACATTTGACCCAGCTATGCTTCAATTTTTTTGCCCGACTGAAAAATACAGTTGCCAGGGCAGCTGTTTGTAGCCTAATTTCAGTAATTTGGCATCGGTTTGTTAATATTTCGTAAAGGCACTTTTTCTCATCAAATAGGGGCATTTTTCGACGTTGTAAATCGGCATAGTAGAGCCTTGTTACCGTTTTGACCTTCCCCAGCCCGATAAAGTTTTCGTCATCTTCGAATCAGGATCGCCGAGCGAAGTCCACTATTTAGACTACATCATTACAAATGGCTTCAAGCTTTGTCGACATGACGCAGAATTTCCTACAGATTGCGCCAAACACTGTTAAGAAGTGCTTTCACAATTGCGCTTGTAGTATAAAATCAGCAAATGCGATACCTATCACTCCGACAGTTTTCTCAAGAGGTTTTGATTTTTGAGATGCCTACTATCTCTATCTAATTACAAAAAAAAAGTAAGAAAGGGCCAAGTTCAGGTGTAACCGAACATTTTATACTCTTGCAACTTGCAAGAATCAAAGACCGGGAAATTCCTTTAGGTGTTGGCAAATTTATATTAAGAAATGTTGAAAGAGAATTAAGCAACCATTATTCGATGAAATTGTGAATAAATTACAACCAAATTTGGTATCTTTTTGACTTATATTGAAGACCATAAACTTATACTCAGTTTTATTGTATATTTTAGTGTGCGGCAGCTAAAATTATATTCATAACACCTTCAAATGAGATATATGTATGTGATATTAACTCGACCGAAAAAGCTAAATTTAATATATGGAGTTGATGTGAAAAACATCAATCAGAGGATGGGAATTCATTATGTTAGGGATATGAGGATTAGACCAAGGTATATATTTTAATTCAGCGCTAAAACACAGAATTTTTAAGAAAAATTGTCCATTTAATTTCATTTAAATATCACATTTTGACCAACATGAACGGTTTAAAGTGAGGTGGACAGACGGAAGTTATTATATGTAATATATTGCTGGCATTGAATGACATATTCGGTATAAAACTTGTAAGAAAAACGAAAATAATTATATGCAGTGTATGGGAGTTGAGGGTAATATTGACCCGAAATTTTCACCAATACCACAAAGTATTAACATGCCACAGACTAACAAAATTCTCCCAGAGTACCGGCTTCTTTTAGGTACCTCACATACCATCACAAAAAATTCGTATATTAATTATTATATGGAGTAGAGGTCAAGGTTTCGGCCAATTTTATCTATTTTAGGCGCAAAGATACACTCTTATGAGTAAAATACACTGTTTTCATCACATATTGGCTGATACTTCGAAAATTGCTTCTTGAATAATAGGTATACTAAAAAGTTAAGGAATCATATGGTATTTGAAATGTGTTATATGGTAAGTAGGCGTGGTTGTAATCCGATTTTGAACAGTGAAATAAGAATATTAGAGATATGTTATAAAGCGAATTCAGTTGAAATCATTGTCCAATTTTTGTATTGGCTCCTAAAAAGCTTATACATTTGTACCATCCTATGTGTAAAATTCAAAGTCCCTAACTTGTTAATTTAATGAGAAATTGTTATATGGGCAGTGGGCGGGGTTATTACATGTTTTCACCCATTTTCACACTGTCGGCAGGGGTACTAAATTTGTTTTGAGCGATTTCGGTTATTATAGCTTTAGTGGTTTAGGAGATATGCACATTAAACCTATTATAGAACGGCGCCACGCCCACTTGATAAAAAAATTTCAAACTGCAGATGCCCCTTCTTAATGCGATACGCTGTACCAAATAACAGTCTTGTATCTTATTGTGGAGCTTAGTTATGGCAGTTTATTGGTTTTCGATTAATGGCGTTTTGTGGGCGTGACAGTGGTCCAATTACACCCATTTACAATACCAACCGTTTTACGGTACCAAGAAACATGTGTACTAAGTTTCTTGTCGATATCTAATATTTTACTCAAGTTACAGCTGGCAGAGACGGACGTCTCTTCATCCTGATCATTTATATATATATAACCCTATATCTAACTCGATTAGTTTTGGGTGATGCAAACAACCGTTAGGTGAACATATTATATTATACCCTGTAGCAACATGTTGCAAGAGTATAAAAAGTAACTATTCATGTTTTATAATAAATAAATAGCTTTTATAATAATTTAAATTTAAAAATAATAATATTTATGAATATATAATATGTATGGAAGGGCTTTTCTAAGAGCTGTCGTTTCTGGAATGCTAAAGTACGTACATATACTATCTGAACAAATTTGACTCGGAGTACTCCATTTAAACTGCGAGTGCGAATCGAATCTATAAACAAATTCGTACTAGATTGGTGCAAATTTTTTATGTTCGTGCGAAGTTTGATCTCCATATATCATTTAGTGTGTGTTTGGCAGCTGTTTGTTTACCACGCAAAAAGTTTGTATGGTCATAGAAAAAAATTGAACGAGTTAGCTTGAAATTTTGTGTAGTAGTATGGTTATGGAATCGTTGAAAATGATTGAAGTGTTTTGGGGAGTCTACTTTATCATGAACACAAGTACTTGAGTGGCACAAGTCCGGGTCATGTGTGATCAGATTGGTATCATATGTACATATGTAGGTAACAGGCAAGAATTTCTGAAAATGAAAAAAAAACCTTTAATATGTAAATTACTAATATAAATTTATTAGAACATCAAAAAATTTTATTTGTTGTTCTGAGTAGTTAAAAATAAAATACATATTTCTTATTCCAAATGTTTGCTAACATATACTACATTTATTAGCATTGTTGATGATATTGGAAATAACCCTTTACTTGTATAAACAATTCGCCGCAGATGAAAAGTATTTGTATTAACAAGTTATTGGCAATATTGAACAAAATATATATGAAATATTTTTTTTTATAAGTGATTGTGTCATAAAATGTAACGCTAATATGATGAAAGAAAATTGAACGAAAAACTTACAGTGCGAAAATAAAACTGTATGCTCTTTTTTGATTTTAAATTGACTACGTATTTAACTTTTCATGACTTAATTGTTATTATTTATTTTTTGATTTTCTTTTTACTGATTTTTTTTTGTTTAAGCGGAAATAGCTGTTGACGTAACGGTGTAGATAAGCCAGTTGTGTAATTTAGTTTTGGCTAAATAATGATTACTCATACTTTATTGAACCAAAATTTTGAGATTTTCTCAATAGTTTTTCAATAAACAGGATTTAAACAAAAAACTCGTAGTTTGTAAATTGTACTCTTGCACTTTTATAGCAACCAATTTGTGCAGCTTTATTGAAAATTTTAAACGAAATCATGACAAATCAATTTTTGTACAAAATGCAATTATGAAATATTTGGCGCATAACATGTTCGTATGTTTGTAGTAAACAGTGGTAGCGTTTCGGCTCTAATGTGCATTCAATCGAAATGAGCTTAAATTTAGTTAAACCTATTCAATAAATCTACTGCTTAAATTGAGTAGCTTATAAAATATTAAAATAATAAAAAAATACAAACGTATGTAGTATGTATGTATGTATGTTGTGTGAACTTTTTGTTTTTTCGCTGTTTTTAGATGTTTTCAGACTTTGTTATTGTTGTTCATTTGTGGTAAATACATTAATTAATGTCTCCATAACAATAAATGAATGAATGAAGTATTTATCCATTTAATGTAATCTCAGAAGTCTTTTCAGTTTACAAGTTATTCATAAAAAGTTTAAACACTCTTCGTCTACTTAAAACGACACACGGCATAATATTCGAATTTTAGGAATTCGTTTGCAACTATTTGGATTTTAATAGCGATTTGATTGAAATGAAGGAGAGGAGTAAATCTTTATAATCATGCACTGCGACCGAGCGAGTGTGTATGCTGCTCAATGTCTATTTGTTTTTTTTACTGTTACTGCCACAACTGATGTCTGCTAATCTCTGCGCGAGCTAGATCGTGATGGTGTTGAATCGCCTCGTCGATTACGTTTTGTTGGTATGTTACGTCTTGGTGACGGTGATACGGAGTCATCGTAACGCCGTTTTGGCGACGGTGAGGCACCACCGGTGCCGCCATTACGTTCGTCCTCACTATATCGATGGTAGGTGCTACCATTCTCTGTCGTGCTACGTCCATTCTCACGTGACTTACTATTGTAGGCGACATCTCGTGACTTGCGTGAACTTTTATTCGCCGAAACTGAACGGCTCCGACTGCGTGATCGGCTTGCCGAAGCAGCACTGCGTGAACGTGATCTGTGATTGCGAGAAGCACTGCGAGATCGACTCCGTGAATTGCTTCTGAAATTATATAATACAACAAACAAAAATAATTTAACTATAATATTTCATAAACTTAGTATAAATTATAAGTTTTAAATAAATTATGTTCTCGCAAAACTATGCTGTTGCAAAAGAGTCGAATTGTTTTGTTCAACATTATAACTTAAGATAGAATAACTATTGCGTATGAAAAATAGTGGTAAGGCGATAGTCGCAGAAAAAATAAATACAAATGAATTTAATGTAAAACGAATTCAATGTAACAATATTGAATTTATTCATTCTACTCTAATCCATTCAGCTAGGACAATTTGCGATGAAGAATCTCACATGTAATTCTACATTGTTACAAAGTGGGCGTGGTCCGTAGACTAGTCTGTAGAATCTTTCAGTTAAAGTATTATCATTGGATATCACAAAGAGATGAATATTATAAATTATTCAATACAGTAAAATTTTATTTATGAATTTAAACGAAAACAATATTTCCGAATTGAAATCACTTCCAAATTTGAAAATGATGAATACCAATTTTCTTTGTTTTGTTTTTAAGCACAAATTAACATAAAATATATAATGTTGATTTTTTTTTTCATTAATTTTATATTCAAGTTTGAGTATATTCAAATGAGTAATTGTTAGTTGATAACATTTGAAATAATGGAAGAGGGTAGATCATTCTTAATTTATTATTTATATAGTTTTTAATTATGAACAATTTAATTCAGCTCTATTCGTATCGTACATTCTGTCAGTATCATTGGAGGACCATTTCTCCATTAAATTTTTTAGTCAAAATGGTTGCTACAATAATATTTCCTGTAATCTTTTTGATTACCAAACGTGTACCGTTGCATAATTGAGTTGTAATGAAATTACTCTGAATACAACAACTGTTGTAACTGGAAACTAATTTCACCAATTTCTACTCTTTTGGCTGCTAATGAACTAAACCGATTACTAATTCGATTACTAAGCTAGTTATGGTCCAAACAAACAATTAATCAAGTTTTTTTTTTGTGATGTACTGCGTATTTGGTTGCAGTTCTATTCTACCATTCCCAATATCTAGAAATTTTATTATTTTTGAGTATCGATCAGTTTGCATTTGTTCGCATATATTTGTGTTTCAATGTTTCACCATAAGAACGATTACTTAAACAGTCGTTAATCCCATTGCGTTAAGATAAGTGGTTAGACGGCAATGGTTAGACAGCACTACCGAAAACTCCATCGTTTCCGTTTAAATCTTGCATTATTCTGTGCAATGCTTCGAGAATATTTGTTAGCCATACCTATGCGTAGCAGTGCAATATTCATGTGAGTATCTGTTGTGATATTAAAAATGTCTTATCGGTTCCACATGGTGCAGAACATATATTGGGTATGTCAGGGTCGATTCTGGATAAGTAGGAGTTTAACCTGCTTCAGTATCCAGAACGAAGTTGCGCCTGGGCCACTCTAGATTCACGAGGCAATTCGAGCTCTACGTCTGCGATGGGTAGTGGTTTGACTCCTAGTACGCCATTCACTAAGAGGGAGTCGATGAAGGTGTTGATGGCTCCACTGTGAATGTTCAGTGCTTGTCTAAAGTTCATTGCGTCCGAAGTCTGGTCGCCGTACTGTCTAATGTTGTCGACATACGTGCTTCACTATGGAGGTGTTCTATTGGGAACATCAAGAGGCATCCCGTGATAGCCCGGAGTGCAGTGTTTTGACAAATCTGAAGCTTCTTCGTCTGCGTTGCACCACATCCAGGCGACCATATTGAAGTTTAAGACCGGCCGGCAGATTGCCTTGTAAGTTGCCAGCAACGTTTTCTTTGTCTTTTCCCCTAAGAGCTGCCGGCAAGCAATTTGAGGATTTTGTTGTGGCTCTGTACTTTGGCAGTTGTCGCGGTCATGTGAGGAGAGCAGGAGCACAGGCTGTCGAATGTAACGAATAAAATTGTAGGGTGGTTGACTGTCGGAATTTTAATGCCATCGACTGAAATGTCTAGATCCTGTCTGTACTCCTTCGTCCAGTTTGTAAAGATGGTCGCTGTGGATTTAGTGGGGGAGAGTGTCAGGCTCCTTGCAGAGAAGAAGCGAGAAAGGTCGGAGAGATATCTGTTTACTTTCGAGTATGTCATCGATTCCATTGCCCTGCGGAACCCCCTGTTTAATTCTTCTAAGTCTAAGGATCGTCCTCTTGCAGGGTGGCTTCTGGTTTAGGCCATGAACTATGTGGGCGTTTATGACGCTAAGTGCTGTGCCCTTTCGGAAGCGACGGTGATGGTCTGCTAGACTCAAGGGCGTAACAAGGCCTCAAGTGCCTTCACTACTGGGGGGAAGGAGAGTTATCGGACGATAAGACTCCCTTTTGTTAGCTGGTTTCCCAGGTTTCAGTAGAGGGACCATTCTTCCGACTTTCCAAACATCGGGTATTTGAAGAGTGGTAATCGACAAGTTGAGGTCCTTGGTCAGATAGCTTACTCCCGTCGAGCTTAGGTGTTTTAGCATCAGCATGCTTATTTCGTCAGTGAAAATGGATTTGGACGATTTGGCCTTGTTGATGGCATTCTGAACCTCCCCATCGGTGAAAGTAAGTGGTTCGCGGCATTTTTCGCTGCCGTCAGGTAAGACATCATTTGGTCTTGTCAGCCGAAGGGTGCAGTGTAAATTGCCGGCTAAAATAGCTCGCGCACTTCTTCGGGTCCAAGGAGGCGGGGCCATCGAATTGAATTTCAAAGGCTTCAACAGTAGTCCAAAGCTAACTCACACTAGTGGAGAGGTTAGATTTCAGATGCTCTATCCATTTTGTCCGCTTATGCTGATTTACTATTTGCCGAATCTCCAAATTGAGAACCCTTATTCGGGGATCACAGGGATCGGCATGGCGTGAGTGTGAGTCGGTGTAAGTCGCCTAGTATCAAACGGTTTTCACCACGAAGAAGCGCACCTATGTTTGGGTGATGTCCTGTTGGGCAAGATGTAACTGGGGGATGTATATATTAAATATCTCGAGCTCGACATCGCCTGACCGGACAGCTATACCCTGATATTCAATTCATACATATAATATAAACTATTTAATACAGTGAATATATTATTTACGAATAAAGGCTAATTGCCGGTATAAGAATTCAAGATTGTACTTGAGATTTGATATAGAAAATGATTCATAGAAATATTTATCAATGGAAAAAATTATGAATTTTCCATTTAGCATTTTACTGTAAATATTATATATATTTTTTTAATTTTGAAAACATGCTATTGTTTAGATATATATAAGTATATATACTTTTTTTAAATTGTTTTTATATTTTAAAATTGGAGATTTAAACTGTATTACCATTAATGTTGGATCAACCTGAACACAATGTGGTACATTTTTCAGAAATTGGTTCAGTAGTTTAAGAAATAACCCCGGACAAAAAGGATTACGTAATTTTTATATATTATATATAGAAAACATTACATAATTTGCTGCCCGTACTCTATAAAGAATTCACCAAACTACGGGTCCATTTTTAAAAAATCAAGTAAAATACGTTTTATTGTACATCTACAATTACTCTTCAAAGAACTATTATATGTACTTATATTTGTATTCTTATAAACAAACACTTGGTACATCTAAAGTTTAACCTAAAAATTAACACTAAAATTAATAAAGCTAATCAGAATCCGGCTCCTTAGTTTTAGCTTTCTTTTTAGCAGGTGGAACCACTGTTTGCTCTTGATCTTGACTTTTATTCTTCTTCTTCTTCTTTTTCTTTTTCTTTTCGGCTCCAGACGCTTCTTCGTCCTTAGCCACCTCTTCTTCGGCTTCTGCTATTGATTCATCTTTGACTTCAGGAGGTGATGATTCCGAGTGCTTACGCTTTTTGACAGACAACGTGCTATCAGCTTCAGGCTGGTAAGTAAACACCTCGCTAAAAAGAATTTAAACATACATTAAAAATTATGTCTATATAAATAAAAATTATTTTTGTAATATAATTTAGTTGCACCATCAGACAGCCAAGGTTTATCGTCATTTCATGTGATCAGATACATGCGAAACCTTTTTGATATCATCATTAAAGTGCCAAAATTATTTTACAATATTTAAGAAAGACGTAATACCTTTTAGCTTGATATTTTTCGAATTTAGCTTTGGCTTTTCCAGTGCCCGACAGCTTTCGAATGTTGCCTTCTTCCAGTAAACGCAGTCGAGCTTCTAGTTTTACTTTATGTGTCGCTCCAAGTTCACAACTTGCCTCTTCCCCAAAAGCGTCAACACGTGTGGCCAGCGATGCCTTTGCAGCGAGTGATCTGGACATTTTACCTTTGTTTTTCAAACTGGCCTGACCCACCAGTTGGGCATGGAATATTAAACCGTATTTTGGTGTATCTTTTTTAGTTTTCAACGCTCGGAATAACGCTTTTTCCGCACCCAAAATTTGTACAGTGGAAGATGGATGTTTAGCCAGATTAATGAGTGATCCAGCGTGCGCGATTAAACGTGCTCCTACAGTTTCACCAACAAGAACTGTTAAATTAGGCGCCATAGCCATCATACGCGTTTTTAAGTAATCGTATAGATGTGTTCTATATTCGTTAATCGAAAGAATTTCATCGCACAGGCATTGTATATTCATAATATCTTCTTCCGAGATTTCAGTTCCCATAGAAATTTCAGCAGCTTCCTTTACCTTCTCTTCTACTTCCTCTGGTAGAATGTCAGAAAGGTCAGTATGTGCCATATTTTCGCGAGTGCCTACTAGTTTAATAGTTTTAACGAATGCAACATTGTCAGTAATAAGCTTTCCGAGTTCTGGAAAATGCCAGCCGTACCATTCACGTGCACGCATCATATAATTATTTAACTCCTTATCCAAATCGTCTAGTAGACATTGTGCTTGTACAATCATTGTGTCGATTTTATCAGGTGAAAATTTCAATTTATAGCGGGACAAGGAGTGCGCTAAGCCTAATGCCATAGCTGTCATCTCGCGTTTTGGTAAACCGCTCAGCAAACTATCAGCCTGTTGACGAATGCATCGCATCAATTCTTGCACACCAGTATTATAAACACATGGCACAGCTAATTTATCTTTGATGGCATTACCTAATTTAGCATCAGCAACCAATAAAGATGATTGTACTTCGTCGCTGAACAATTTTTTCAATGTCTTTTTAAGAGGTTTAGACATTTTGCCCTCCACTGTAGCCGTAGCAGCTGCCAATGCTTCAGTAGTGTCATTGAATTTCTCAAAATGTTTCAATTTTAACAATTTATTGGCTTTTTCGGGAGTTTGAAACTCCAGATATAGGTTATCTACTTCGGAAAGTTTCTTCTCGTCTAATAACTTAAATATCGCGTATCCCGCCGGTGTTTCATATAAAACAAACATTTTTTACTGTGATATGTCAGTACATGCACCAAAAATGTTTCCTCCAATTTAAAACGCTTTATATATTTCAGATTTTGCCACAGTAAATTCCACTCTGAACGACACCGATGAAAAATCAAAATGAAAGAAGAAACGATACTCGTGGAAAACACGTGTGTGCGCCATTGGGTTTGCAGCACCCCTAGCGACTTTTTCGTAAGTCATTCACGATTCACAAACACTTTTTATTCACAATAATCGGTAAGTAAAATATTAGATTCCGCGAAATTGATATATATTTATTTTGAGGATGACAATAATTACTACAATTAAAGTGTATTTCCGAAATCAAATAACACTTTTCCAAAATTAACATAATTTATTTTATTTTCATATACATACAGTGAACCAAAAAGAAAACTTGTACAAAGAAGTGTTTTGACTTTGAAGTGACTTTTCTCTTAAACTATCTCAGCTTTTAAGCTGCAACCAAGAGTAACAATCTGAGAATTACGTATTTTAATACGAATTTTAACAATAAATCATTTTGATTGTAAAAAATTAAAATATCTCACCATTCAACAGCCAAAAAAATAATAAAAACGTGTACAATCGTTGACAATACTTTAAATACATTTACCAAGTAGGTACCGTTATTTTTGTCTCTTAAATGCGTATGGTTAAAATGTATTATTTGGTAAGCTAATTTCATTTGCGCGGTTGTAGTTTTGACAAAAAAAAAGGTGAGTAAAAACATCTGAATATTTGTAGGCTCTGGTAGTCAACTATTGGCAAGAGAACAAAAGAACTCGCGTAATATCAAAAAAATAGAATACACTATTTTTTAGTACATTATTGCTAAATTCAAAAAGACTAGTGGAGTTGGACTTGGATTTGATTTTAATGGAACGCCCAAAAAAATGTACACGCCCCAGACTGAAAGTAAAGTTACTCGGAGTATCAAGGCACACCCCAAAATAACGCCAAGGAGTTGGAGGAAGTTGGTATTGCAAATCTGATCCCTCAAACTGTTCGGAATTTTTCGTTTTCCCCTGATTTGGGAGCGGATACACCACGAAACAAGCCACAATTATCGAAATACTGCGAAAGGTTTACTATATTCCAAAGAGTATATTCACCGCGATAA